TCCATAAAAATTAACCGGCGATCACTCGCGCGGGGTGTTCTGTACACCCCAGCAACAAGAAAATCCTCCCAGGATTCTAAAAAGAATGCGCAGAATCATGATTTTTTCTGTAGCTGCACATTTTAGGTCATTGAACCTTCACACCTGATGCAATCTCACTTTCTCGAACGATTGGAATGTAATGGCCTTCAAAAGTTTATCTGGGGGCTGAAAACTCCAGCGATAAGTTGAGCATTTGTATACATTCTGATCTGAATGTTTGGAAAATTATTAAAATATTATTTTTCCCTTTCTACTATCATTATCTCATTAATTATAAAATATATTTATTACTGGTATATACATTTTATACTGGTTTATGAAAAAATATAAAAGTATGTGTTTTAAAATGAAAATTTTGTATGTTTAGTTTAAATTAATGTTAGTGTCATTTGTATGCAATAAATTTAATAATTTTATTTGTATAGTACAAAAAACATCTTGTACTTTATAAATATGCATCATAATGACTTAATTTTATTTTCATAATTAAATACACGCGTAAAAAAATTTTGGGGTGTTCTCTACACCCCGCGAGTGACGACGGTAGCAAAAACAGGTGCGAGTGACCGCGCGTTAAGTCTAATAGACGTTATCCCCTTGGCAACGATAAAAATATCAAGGTTTCCACATTATAACGTTATCGTCCATCTTGGTGAACATAAACAGCAACTTCGCGTAGCACTCGTATATCAAATGATCACCGAGAAGTTTTCTTTTAAGTTATTGTAAAAATTAATATCCCCTTAAGTAAAAATTAGCTTATTTTGATTACTTGTCAATGTGGTCAAATGCAGTTCTTCTCTTCATTTTTGAATTAGCAGAATAATAGACAGCTGGTTAAAATTATTTAGCCCGTGAAAATTTTTAATGTATTGCATCATATCGAAACTACTATTTCAATTCCTACTATTACCTCACCCTCTCTATTTATTTATCTTGGTGGAATTTTTGATCTCTAATAAAATACATTTTAAAGCGCTCAATTGAGCTGAAATTTTGTATACATGATTATTTTGGATGACAATACAATAATTTAATAAAAATTAATAAAAATTAATTGATTAAAATTAATTATTTAAATAATTACAAATATACAGTTATATTGGCATCATTTTTGGTGACTTGTGTCAAAACCTGAAAATGCCTTTTTTCTCACCATTTAAAGCATTCATTTGAACTGAGATTTTATAGACACAATTATTTTGGATAACAATACTATACTTTAATGAAAATTAATAAAAATTAATTACCTCTTAATGTTGTGATTCTGTCATATGTGTATATGCATATTTATATTAATTGTAACTATTTAATAAAAAGTAGCAAAAATAAAAAATTTCTTTGTTGATCTAAGAAGGAATTGACTTATTTTTTATTTATTTATTTATTTTTTTAATATATTTCTCGTTTCATACCGGGTCCCAGTCACAAAGTTGCAAGTACAGAACTTATGGCGTTATCAAGTCAGACTTTGGGGAGAATGTTAATTGTTTCTTGAGGAATGGTTATGTAGATTATGGTAATTCAAATTATACTTTTAACCGTTCAGAATGTGTTCACACATTTTCTTTATCATAATAAGCGTTCAAAATGGTTTAATTTTTCTGCTATTTTGGCATTTATGATAGCTTAGATTAAAATTGTTTTGTTATTTGTATTTTTAAAGTTATTGAGACACTCTTAATGTAAATATCTTTTTCAAATAAATCGAATTTCATCTATATTAAATTTGAAAATATGTATACACACGTATATAATATGACAATACACCATCTCTTGGTAAATTCCTATTTTTATTCAAGAAAGTAAAATATACACTAATGGAACTCGAAATAGAATTTCGTAAAATTTAAGATCCATTTCAAATAAATACTATTTTTTTTTAAAATTTCAAATACCATTTTTTTGAAAAATTTATATTCTTGTGTAATTTAATATCAGGGCTAGAAAATTTAAATATTATGCAAAAAAATTCTCTTTTAATAAATGCATTGACATAACTATTTCTTCTAAAATTTAGAAAACCGGATTAAAACAGGAAAATTAAATTTAAGAGCATGAGTTACTATGCGAATAAAACATATTAAAAATGAGTCTATTATATTTCTAAATAGGTTTTTCTAAAGAAAATATTTCACCATAAGACTTTATGTAAAAGGAAAAATAGTATTCTAAAACTAAAAAAGAAAAAAAAAAAGTAGTTTTGTATATATATATATATATATATATATATATATATTAACATACGAAATATATTCGCTCGAGATTTTTTTTACTGCGTAAATAACATTTTTAAATAAAACTACAAAATGTTTGTCTTGAAATTTGGAATGTTTGCATTTAATTATTATTAGTTATGATTATTAAAACTCTTACAAAATTCTTCAATCAGCACACGGAATCTATTCAGGATTATTTTATTCTTATTTTTGGATCCCTTCCTTAGAAAAGAAAATTTTATTCCCTTCACACTTGCTGACTAATGACTGATTCCCAATCCCATAGCACCTCGTAATTTCAGCACCCCCAGCCAATCACTTGCCAATCAAACTCGCAATTACTAGTCGAAATCCCTGTCGTAACTACCTTTCTACGGAAACGCACTGCAATTCAATCAGCAGTGCATTTGCCTGCGCTGCCTGAAGCAAGTCTCGTAACTCTACGCGACAAACGATAGCTATACACTTAACTGCCACTATAACTTCATAAGTGATGAAGCATTTAAAGTTGTAGCCTGACTGAAGCAGTTACCACTGCACGTTCCTTGTAACAGGCTGAGCGTTTTGACTGTTACCTTGGTAACTGTGTCCAGTCAAGTGAATCTTTAACGTATGTTTGCAAAGATGTGAGACTAGACTACAGCGGTGTCTATGCATAATGATACCTTTCCGTAGAATTTGTTATTTAGGTGAATGGTCCCTGATTCGGAAAGTACTGGTGGTTCATTTGAGGAAATGTTTCGGAATTGTGTAGTTTCAATGAATCAGCACAGTTGCTTTATGATAATTTCTTTGTTAAAGTAAAGTATTCGAGATCTAATCTTCTAAACTAAGCTCCTAGTTCTGCGAAAAATCGGAAGTTACCGTATAATAGAATTGTTTATTTCACCAGGTAGTTGTAAAAAATAATTTTAAAATTGCTTTTGCTTTGTTTTTGTGTGCAGATGGACAAATAAAGTATACTTTGTTAAAAAAATTAAATTCTAAACACATCAAAGAATCTAGAAATTTTTGACATACTTTAATTCTTAAATTATAAAAAAAAATAGTATACATAGAGGTAAGAAGCGTAGCAGGTATTTTTTACATAACATTTTTTTTCATGATTTTTAAAATCATACATTAATTTAATAAGGAAGCCTTAATTGAAAGTGACACGTGTTGTATATAACTACATCATAAGTAAACAGTTAATAATTCTTTGTTAAAAATATAAACTCCAAGATCTTTACTTTGGGAAATTGCATTCAAATTTAATTAGAATAAATTCATACTTTTAAAACAGATTTATAAAAAAAATGATTTCAGACATTTTAATAGTTAGATAAATTTAACTGGGTATATGTTAAATAAAAAAATCTGCATGAAAGAAGAATATGAACATGTTAAAAAGTTACATAAGTGAAGATACAAGAGAATATACTTGTTTATGATATTGAATGTAATATATTCACTTGTGTGTGTGAAGCTTTAATTGAAAATTACGCTTGTTGTATTTCACAACATCATTATTGAATGCATAATATTTTTTTGTGTTAAAAAATTAAATTCCATGATTGCTATTTAGAAAAATTGTTTTCAATTATATTTCAAATATTTTTATACATTTTAACAGATGTTGACCAAAAACAAATTTGGATTTAAGACATTTTGAAAGTCAGATAAATTTTTCTTGCCATACGCTGAATAAAAAAAAAATGTGTATGAAAAAAAAATATCAATGTGTTTAAAAATAACATAAGTGATAGTTGTTGTTTTTTAAACTAGTGTAAGATCTCGATTAATTTTATATGATTTTTTCTTTCTTTTTTAAGAATACATAAAAAAAAAAATATGATAAAATATTACATTTAAATATTTCTGTGTTTCTATGATAATTTAACATATGCTCTAAGAATGAGTGAGTTCCTTAAAAAAACCCAAGAAAATAAATAACATTATAACCCAATAATATTTCCTAGAAATACATTTTATGTATATTACTTCCAGAAACGATTTTTTTAAAAATAGCGTCATAGACTTTCTTTTTTTAGAATTATTCAGTTTATTCTTCCATAGAAATAAAACTAAAAAAAAAATAATATAAAATACATGTGTATGTGTTTTCAAAAATTATCACCATTATTTTAAGACGTTCCGCTTTCATCATTTATAATGTTTTCATTTCCTCAGATGTGTTTTATGTTAAACATTCGGAGTCTACATAGTCAACAAAACGTCTTAATGCGATCAGGGAAAGGAGACTACTTAAGAAGAAATGGCAATCGATGAGAGTAATGGTAGTTATTTTCTCGAAAGTATCGCAATCATTTTCAGTCTAATCACGTTTTGATTTCTCTTATTTTTTTGCAGCAATTTCCCGGCAGCTCATGTCAAATGCTTTCAATTTATTTTTGAAGTGCTCAAAAGTTTCACGAATATAAGGTGGATAGAAATAAAAGTTTGCTGTCGAATGAAATGTATTAGTAGATGTCAATTTCAAAATTGTCGTAAGGGAAATTATACTTTACATTGTAAGTGAATGTTAAAAACGTATGCATATTCTTTGTAAAGGATTATTAGTATTATTTGTAAAGTATTAGCTGTAGAATTTTTACTTAATTTTAACCTAAGTAATTTATATTTGAATGTGCTATGGAAAGTGCGCATTAGTTTTTATTTCATTTATTCATTAATTAAATTTAATTATTACACTAAAATAGTATACTAAAATGGAACCACAATTTTCAGAAATCAGGCTATCCAAGGTGGGATTCAAACCCACGACCTGTGGATTAGAAGTCCATATCGCTATTCATTGCGCTACAGGGATAAAACGAGCAATTTTCATTTTTATATATTGTGTTGGACCATTATTTATCTTTGTTATTATTTATTGATTGATTAAATAGAATTAATTAATTAATATTTGAAAAAAACTGTATTAACACCAAGTGTCATCCACCACAAGTTTGAAAATTTGCATTTGAACTTAATTGAATATGAATAAAAAGTATTTTATTAACGATTGAAAATTTGTACGAAATATATATAGGGAAAGTGTGAAGGAATAGTAGGAATTTATATATAAAAAGAATAACTATACAAAGACAAATATATGTATTTTAATTACTTGCGTTGATTACTATATCATTAAATTATTCTTAATTTAAAAAGCGAGTCCTACATTTGCATGCATAAGAAACGATAGAATGCATGTGTGCTGGAAAATTGTTAAAATTAGTATGTAAGTTGATAGCTTATTAAAGCCTCACTGTTTAACATTAAATGGAGATTTTTCTTACATTGTATTTAACTAAGCACTTTAAATCTACCGAGTTTGAATTTATTGTTTTAATATTACTTAGTGTATTTCTGAAACTATACGAGTGCCACTGGTGACGAAAATAATAATTTTAAACCTCGGTCCAAACTTCCACACAACGCTAATAAGAGAACTTTAAGTATCGATGTATTTAACATACACCAGCTAATCTGAATTTTTAGTTGCATTAGAACTTGAGACCGTAGCACGATTGAAATAACGCTTTCTATAATATGCCGACCATCACCATTCGGCTACCCCGATGGCCACTTGAAAATTAGAGTGAAATCTTTAAACTGATCTAAAAAGTATTAAATATTTTTTGAAATGTTTTATTTTATCAAGAAACGCAACTGATTTTTTTCAACACATGTCTAAATGTCAAATTTAGTGCATTTTGTTGTAAGGATGGCAGCATTTTATTCAACATAATAAAACAACCTTTAGTGTAGAGTATTTGCCTGAATGAACCTCATACGGATGAAGCTCTAGTGGCAGAAATATTGCTGAAGTTCTTCCTCTTCTTGTTGCAGAAATCAAAAGAAGACAGTTGCAGAAATCAAAAGAAGACAATTCGTTTTGGAAAATTATAGTTTCTATCTCATCAATACTGATGTTTCTTACAATATATATGTTTTTTAGGCAACGAAGACCTTAGCAAACATTTCCTTAAGAATATAAGAATAAGCTCCTGTACCGATTGAAATGTGAATTTTTTTTTTTATCTGTTCAATGTTTAAATCTTCTTCAATTTCATTAAATGTCTATTTTTATTTTTAAAAGATAGTTCCGTTTCTCCTTTATCTATTTACATCTGTTTTCTTTTTTTTTCAGAAATTTCTGCATTTAAAAGTAACGATAAGACTGTTAAAACTCTAGATGCAGTTCATTTTTCCAAACTGGCAAATTTGATATTTCTGTAGACTCAAGCAAAGGATAATCAATATTAACCGTGATTTTCCCCAAATCGCTGGGTACCAATATTTGAAATAATGGCAAAACATTGACTTAAATTTAACTGTGCCTCTTGTATTGAATGTTAGTCTTCTTACCACATTTGTATAAGAAACAAACTGCGACCAGATATGGCTATATCACAATACAAATTGTAGTAACAAGTTATGTTGTAGACACTTCCATTATTTTTATTACATACTTCCTTACTCATGCTTTCATACAGGAAATAATGGTCACAGTAAAGATTTCTGATTTTATATTTGTATATTCGCTAATTAGAGAGGACGAGGGATCTTTGGATAATTTAAAATATTCGTTTCTAGGAGAAACTATAATTAAAAGAAATATCTTTAAGGGATATAATCTCTTTATTAAAACAATGTTTTCACCCCTGATGATTGTACCAAAAAAAAGATTCCTTAGGTAAATTCTTTATTAGTTTTACTACATATTTCTATTCTTCATACTTCATTATTTCTCTGAAATAAATTTAGTACGCCGAATGTATTGCATACTCTTTACAGTCGAGCAGAAATTTGTACAATTACTAGTCTTGACTCATTACAGCAAAAATAATAAATCAGAATCCTAGTTAATTTGAATTGTAATATCCGAAAAAAATAATTTAATAATAATCAAGAAGATTGATAAGTTAGTATATTAACATGGTAATCAATTTCAGAAACCTAATTTATTTACCAAAATGAATAATTTAGTTGATTTCAGTTATTTGCATACATATTGACAACGTAATTCCTTCTGAAATCATATAGAGCATCATTTTTACATATTGTTATACCACTTCCCTCCATAGGCATTTCACCAAGCACTATAATTTAACCAATAAAGCATTATGGATGCATAAATTTCAAATACGAGTACATAATTACCCAACTGGGCAACAATATAATAGTACTACTGAATCCAATATTAAACAATACACAGAGTAGTTTAAATTGCAAACTCAATTCGAAATAGCCATGTACTCTAAAACCTATTTGGAGAAACGTTCTGTAGAGGCGTTGAAATTATATCCTTCTGATAGCAACCGACATCTTCACAGCGGGACTCGACACAACACCGAACAAATATGTAATCAGGCCTTATATAGTATCATGCATTCCTGCTCTAAATGCTTCTGAGTTCACATACGTAACCATAGGCAACACAACGGCACAGACCTCCGGCCATGGTGCTTTGATTGAAGCACGGATATGGTATTACTTTGTCGCTGCAGAGCGTTTTGTAGTTGGATATGGATAACCAATTAAAGTAATTGTTTTCTATGCATTCCCTAGTGATTTCAGAGGTTGGAAAGGGTAATGATTTGTTAGGGATCATGTCCAGAGAATGAAGCTGTTTCATTATGAATGGCCAACTTCTGATGGGAATGGCTTACAATCTGGAAATAATTAAAGTATTTAAGCATTGAGTAATTTTCCTTTAATGTTTCCATACATAAATGGAACTGGTATACATATAATTAAACGAAGTATTCCTTAAAAAGAAATGGCTTGTATAAAAATATTCAATATTATGAGCTAAAATGTAATAATTTTAAAATTGTGAGTTATTATAAAACAATAATATTTTTGCTTACAATTCAAAAAATTATTTAATAAAATAGATTTCAGGTTAAAAAAATATTGATAATAATGAATTTTGAATGTTTTATCTAGAAGTAATACGAAAAAAGTTTCAAATGGAAAGATATTGATTATAAAATATTTTAAATAATTAGTTGGAAATAATCTCTCAATTAATAAATACAAATCAAACAATAATGCATTAGTTTTTCTAAAACAATATTATGTGGAGATCAAATGGACAGCATAAAACTAAAATAATGTAAATTAATTGATCAGTTAACTGGACTTGACTATTGTCAGAAATTTATACGATACTATAACACTGAGTAAAATCTATATATTCAAAAAAATATGTTATATAATATTTGAAACTATTAATAGTTCATGCTCATTATTTTTTCCTCAGGGCCATTTCCATCAGAATTTCTTTGAAACTTATCAAGTGAACACATTTTTAACTAAAAATTGAATTATATGTTCTTTTAACCTTTTAATTTAAGAAAAAAAATTATAAATTTATTTGTAAGGAATACAAATGTATTATATAATTAGTGCACACAAATAAGGAAGCTTTTTTTTTTACTGTGACATAGCATTTAAAATTTAATGTAAATGTCAACTGATAATCACGAAATAGTGATATATTTCAAATTTCTGTTTTACTTACACAAAATTAAACATAAAAACATTTCTAAATAATTATTTCAAAAATTTCTTTTTCAACCCTTATATTTAAAGTTAGTGGTACGCAATTCACTCAACACACTCCAAAACATCCAAATTGATACTTATTGAAAAGGCCCAGAGATAAGCCTTTAACTCATGTCCAATGGCATTTCAATAAGGACAAACGCTGACTAGCTCTAAGCTCTCTGAGTGAGTTTGATCCTCCCGAGTACATAAATAAATAAATCCTTTCTATGGATATTTTTCCTTTTCTGCAAATCCTGAACAGCATAGGAAAGAGTTTATCAAAATGTGCGGTGCATCCCCCTTGAGGGGCATGATAACTCAACGAGGGGGCGCGAGCATATTGAAAAGTCGAAAACAAAAGATTACTTAAAAATAATTATTCATTTACTGTAAGTAAGTAAATAAAATACATTTTGAAATGATATATATATATATATATATATAAAGTACAAATTTACACTGATATATTATACTTATAAATGTATCAGAATGTCTTTTATAATTAATTTAACAATACTAAGTCAGGAACAAGTTTAATAATTACCTTTGACCCCATGGGACTCTGCCAAATATAAAATCACATACAAAAATTAACACTCATCTTGATAATTTTTGTATGGTTTGTGTAATAAAAAATTCCTTAACTGCCGATTTAAAGTTACATGATTCGCTTAATAATGTCAACCGTTTTCAACGTAGGCGAGCGTATGTGATATATTGAGCGGGGGGAGGGAAGGAATAAAAGAATCAAATAATCTGAAATGAGTAAATCCTTCGCAAACATTATCAAAGTCCTTTTATTACATTCCAAAGCCTTCCGAATAATTTTATGGAAAGCAGTGCACAGAAAAGGTCTTACTTTGGAAAGACGTATATATACGTCCAGGGAAATCGAAGCTTTGGATGGCAGAGACGTTTATATACCCCGGTAGTATTTAAGAGGTTAAAGTCGTATCGCAGTTTTAGAATCCAAGTATAATATTATTGAGTTCAATACATTTTTGTTGTTTGAGGGGGGCGTGACTAAAATTATGATTGAATATTGGGTCGCAAATATTGAAACTTTGAGAAGCACTGGCATAGGACCAAATCTCGATCATCAGGGAGATAACAGCCATCATGAAGGAGAAATACAGAATGTAAAGTTTTCAACGAAGTGTTGAAGACGATGGAATCAGTATTGAGAGTTTTTCTAATAAGAGTGGTAATAACCACTGCTAAAAGCTTCAGCAATAAATGGGTTCCTCCATGTATTCCAAATTTTATCTG